TCGAGACTGCAAATCAGCGTTGCAGGACAACACCTGGACATTCGTTCTTTGCGTGTGTTTTTTGGTACGAAATTGTTCTTTCAATTTCCTGTAGTGCTAAAGCTGTGGATTGCAAGAACTGGACCTCCGTCCAAATGTATTTTCTAGCAACAAAGACTCTGAATTTCGTGAAAAATTATTGCTTTAAATTTTTTAAATTTTTAAATTTTAATATATTGAAATTAAAAATAATTTATAAAAAATAAAAAAATATTATTTTAATATATTTTTAAATAAAATATATTTCAAAAAAATAACGCTTCACGCTCTCAAACATTATTTAAAAAAACAGGATTTTTTTTTAGATGTGATGCTTAAGCATTGTAAGTAATTTTTAAATAAAAAAATTAATAACTTAAATTATAAACCCGATTGGATTGAATAAATTGATTTTATTTTAATTAGATAAAAAACAACGAGAAGAAAAAAACTAGATAAATTTAAATTAATTATAATGATTTGGAGAGGAAAAAAATCAAAAGCAAAAAAACTGATATATATCAATTTATAACCAATTAAATATGAAAAAAAAAGATTTAAATAAAAAAAACCCGATCCAGGTCAACTTGAATTAATATAACCTGAATAATGAGAATGCAGCAACCTAATAAAAAATACATGGAAAAAAATTACAAAACCTAAAACTTAATTTCCGACATACCAACAATAAATGATAATAGGATAACCCAATAAAAAAATTAATTTTTAAAAATATCCAAAATTTTAAGAGTGAAATAAAAAAATATTCATTTTTTTTAAATGACATGTAAGAAGCGTTGAGTAAACATGGGTCAAGTCGATAAAAAAAATAAAAAAATAAAAAAAATTATTTTTTTATTTAAAAAACAACATCGAATGATGAGGATAAAAAAAGAAAATAAGTCTAAAAATAAAAAAGTAATTTTTTACTCATGTTAACTCTACAAACTCATTGTTTAAGTCACTAGTTTATAAACACTATATATAAAAAACAATAAAGCATGGTTTCAGACCAATCAAATATTGAATAATGATATTGAAAAATAAAATAATTATACAAAATGCTTTAAAATAGAGATAATAATTAAAAAAATGAAAATTTAAATTTAAATAATTGTAAATAAATTAGATGTTGAATACAAAACTTTAATTGAATGACAAAATCAAAAATAAAATCCAGTCCAACATAATGATAAAATAATGAAAACAAGATAAAAAAAAATACCAAGTTATGATATGAAATGGAAGAATGAAATCTAAAATATATCTAAATTTCACTAGAAAGCCAACAATAATAAAAATAAAAACTAAAGATTAAGGTAAGATTCTCAAGAAATAAGATGATAATTCTAAAATTTTAAACAATAAACATGCATCTCAAACAAAGAAAAGAAAAAAAAAGAAAAGAAAAGCACCACCATTAACAAACTAACTGACCATTGAAGCTATTGACAATCTAACACCGACTAATAGATATTGTATAGATATTGCTTTGCCGCCATGTCCAGTTTTAATGTTGTTTTTCACGGGAGGGGCAAAGCCATCACTATACTTCTGTGAACAACGATCCCTGTCACATTAAACAATGGTTTTTTTCCAAAACAAATTAGTCTGTGTTAATCATACTGTAATAATATATTTTTAATCATTTTTAATGCATCCAGGTTAGATCCCGTGCTCTTCTATTGATTTCATTGCAATGAACTAAAACTTTTCTAATGTATACAATGGACCACTCCTGGCTCGACAGGGACTAGCTAACCAAAATTTTCTCTCGTAGTTTTTCTATTCAAATTTGAGATGATTAAGCGAGAGAAAAAAATCTATTAATTGCTACCTCGGCAAATGCCTCAAGAGTACTCGTATACGTGGTGCTTCGCAATCAAAGCATGAACATTATTGTTTGTCCAGCATTGCATTAAAAAATATTTTTACCTGAATATATATTAAAAAAATATATGTTTTTTAATACTAACATACCAAAATAGTAAAAACAATTAATTTAATATTTTTTAAAATAAAATACATTTTTACATACAAACGCCATTCTTACACAAAAACAAACGGTTAAAAACGCGAAAGAGAAACAGAGCAGGTAGATCAAAGAAAAGTTCAGCGGTTTCTACTAATCCCGTGCCCGACACGTTTCTCTGACTTAATACTCCTAAAAAAATGCAATATAATGACGTGAGATGATAAAGGGGAGAATTTCGTGAAAAATTTTATGCCCGTGAAAAAAATATTAAATATCGTCAGTAAACTTAAAAAAGAAATGGAAAAGGGAGAAAAAAAATAAATTTGGAGACCAGAGACATGAGCACGAAAGGATGGTAGACCAGAAGCACCTGATTCTTTTGATTTCTAACCTTTTTTTTTTTTTTTGGTTGTTTGGAGGGGAAACGTGACGTGACAAAGGCAATTAAATGCTACCGTTACTGTTACTTTACAGCCCAGCTTCTACGTGGATGCCGCCTGCATCATCCCCACTCTCCATCCTTACACGCGCCGATCACTATACTACTAGAATTTTCCAACTGACAGGCAGCTAACAGCGCCATGTTTTGTGGCGCGTGGTATGCAGTCGGGCCGTGATTTTTTAGCCAAAAGTTTGCATGATGATTGCGTCACCCGCGATGTGCGTTCGCTACGCTCATTTGGCGGAATAACTGCGTTTGACAAGATTCTCTGCGTAGGTATTATAGTATTTATTTCCCTCCTCCCCTTGGCTTTTTGAAAACGCGTTTTGTAAAGTGAATCATTTTTTTAATATAAAAATTCAAATGTTCACAATGTTTTATTTTTCTAGCAGAAAAAAATAATTAATGTATTTTTTTTTATGTATACTAACCTAGTTTAAAAACAATTTTGAACTATAAATAAAAACATAGTATTATTTGTAAAAATAAAGATTTTAACTAAGAGATTCAATGCTAAATAAATCAAATGTATAAATGATAGAACACGAGAAAAAAATGTAAATTATTTTTAAAAATTAAAAATACTATAATATTAAATGGTGTTTTTTAATGTAGTAAATAATATAAAACACAATTAATTTTTAGCTTTGATTTAGCTGTCAATGTTAACTTCCATGTTTAGAGATGCTTATAAATGGAATTATAATTATTTTTTGCATAACATTTTCTTCAAGAGACGTTGATGAGGTGGATTATACCATCCCAGGTGATGTAAATCCTCAAAGGATTTATGTTTTTATATAAAAACAGAGGAATGATAGAATTCGTAACTTCTTGTTTTTGAAGTATGGTATCAGATTTCACTATAAAAAGGTATATTATTAGATTTTTAACGAATAAAAATAGCTAAATAATATATTACTGGACTCCATTTTGTTCCTATTAAAATCTCGCTATTGTTTAAAGTGTATGTAATTCCAGCATAAAATATGTGTCCATGAATGGATAATATTCATGACAGACCAATCAAATCTGGAAAAAAATTGCTCTTGATTGTAATTGCTGCCATGCACTTGATATAATATCGCATGGGATTTATATGCTCCATAAAATCACACAGCCTCGTGATCAACTGCTTTTGCGTGCATACGGTTTTCGATATCTTGCGCGATCACCTGTAATTACTACCATCATTAAAATATGATTTATTATAATCCAAATCAAGAGCTTTTATTTAAATTCCATTATGTTTTAATTAATCTGGGCCTCTAGGAAAATCTATCCGATTTCGAGTTATTTAAGGAAGTTACGTGTCCCACGTCCCGTAAAATCCTCACTCGACATCAAATCAAATTCGAGCTTTGTATTTCCAGACTAGGATTCTTGAATATACCAGGCTGCTTGAGAGAACGAGTACAACGGCCTGCTGGCAAATCTCTTTCATTCTCACCTTCCACCTGGAGGAATAAAAAGCAATAATAAGAAATAGCTTTATTTCTTTTTTTTATAAAATTAAAAATTAAAAATTAAAAATAAAAACTAAGATTTTTTGTTTAAATATAATATTTCTTCTTCAAAATTAGAATACTAGTTTTCAGTTTCTCAAACTAGTATCAGGTTTGAAAAACGCATTCTGATGTCATAAATTTAATTTTCATTATAAATTTAATATAAATAATTTTTTAGCCAACAATAACTTTTTTTGATAATTTTTAATTAGAATGAAATAAAATTAATATTCTACGAGTAGATTATCATAAACACAAAATATTAAAATAACTATTATAAATTATAGTTTTGATTTTTATGAAAAAAAGTTATAATCCTGGTATATTTTAATGAAAAAAATCTTTTTTTTCAAAGAAATAAACAAAATTTCCATCTTCTCGTTAGAAAAAAATAATAAAAAAAGAAAAATAGTTCAATGGTGATGAACATATCCAAAACATTTGGATGGCTAAATTAGGATAATACCAATCCTATTTTTAATTAATTCTGAAAGAGCCTGCATTTGACGTTAATTAGCAGTGATCAATTTCAATAGACATTTTACTGGAGGTAGGCCGTCCATGGAGTGAGGAAATTTTGGGATCATACATTGCAATAACTCGGGGTTTAAAAATGTGGTAGTAATAATTCTTTAAAGTATATTTTTTTAAATATTTAAATATTTTTTAAATTATTTTTGATATTAACATATTAAAACAATTTAAAAATATCAAAAAAATTAATTTCCAAGAAATTCTATTTTTAAATTTTTAAAAAATATAATTTCAACTCCCAAACATTTTCTTTAAAAGTGGGCCAATCCAAACTCCGAGAGTAAAGACTAACATAGTACTTGTTCTACTAGATAGCCACCCCACCCCCAACTGTGACCCATCAGTAAACTAGCTAGCTGTCAACCCCACCCCCATCTCACTGTCCACAGCTTTTCTTTCAACTTCCCTTCTTCCCTTTTCCCTCTCACCAGTCTCCTGTTATTTTTTATCTCCTCCCAAAAAGGTTAAAAAATAAAATAAAATAAATCTAATTAAATACTTAAATTTTTGAAAGAAAAAATAACAGCAGGACACCCACCTAGACCCGGCGTGGAGTACCTATAAGAGCATCAACCTCCACTATCACATCCCCCTTTACCTTCTCTCTCTTCCGTTTCCAACCCACCACCGTAGTCTCCCATGGACCCGCCACCTCTCTCCGCCGCCGCCGCCACCACCACCACCCTCCCCACCCCCAATTCATATCCAGACTCCATTGACTCCTCCCCTCGCTCCCGCAACACCGATTCCAACTACTTCGACGACTCGCTGCCCCCTCTCTCTTCAAAACTCCGCCTTATGTGCTCCTATGGCGGCCACATAGTCCCTCGCCCACACGACAAGTCGTTGTGCTACGTAGGAGGCGACACCCGCATCGTCGTCGTCGACCGTCACTCAACTCTCTCCTCACTCTCCTCTCGCCTCTCCAACACTCTCCTTAATGGCCTACCCTTCATTTTTAAGTACCAACTCCCAAGCGAAGACTTGGATTCTCTGATTTCCGTCACTACAGATGAAGATTTAGAAAACATGATCGATGAGTATGACCGGACGAATAGCAACAACGGTCCAAAACCGTCGCGTTTGCGCCTCTTTCTGTTCCCTTTGAAGCCGGATTTGTCGCAGTCTATTGGGCCAATTCTTGAAAACAGTGCGAAATCGGAAGATTGGTTCTTGAATGCTTTGAACGGAGCTGCTGCCGCGGGGTTGTTGAACCGAGGTTTTTCAGATTCTGCTTCGGTTAATTGTTTGTTGGGTCTTGATTATAATGATAGCAGTGATGGTTTAAATAATGGAAACAACAGTAATAATAACAGTAATGTTGATTTAGTTGCTGCTGGTGGTGGTAGTAGAGACGGGGAGGGGTCGAACAAGGGCGTTGTAAAGCAAGATGTCCATTCAGTTCCTGATTCTCCTATGCTGGAAACTACGTCGTCTTTTGGGTCTACTTCTTCTTCGCCTTCGCTTGCGAATTTGCCTCCGATAAGGGTTCATGTGGAGGATGGTGGTGGGGTTAGAGATCAGAAAGTGGCGGTGGGAATTGAGGATCAATTTGCTCAAATGACTGTCGGTGTTGGAGGTGGTGCTGGTGCTGGTGTTGGGCAGAGGCAGGATGATGGGTTTGTGGTTCTGTCATCGCCGCCGCCGCCGATGCCTGTTGCGATTGCGTCGCCGGGTGTACCTGTTGGGGGTCAGGTGGTTGTTGGAGAGTATCAGAATCGGGTTTTCTCTGATGATGAGAGATCCGACCATGGGATTCCTGTTGGTTATAGAAAGCCACCGCAACCTCAGACTCAGGTGCAGACTTCGATTCCTCAGAACCAACAGAGGTCTGGCAGTGGTGGTGGTGCTATTGATTTGCCTTCCCCAGATTCAGTTTCAAGGTACTTAATTTATTATTCCTTTTATCTTGGTTTGGGCTTCTTCTTTTTTTATTAAATTTGAATGATATGGTTAGATTGTTAGTTTAATTGTGAAGAAAGGATTAGATTTTGAATTGGGTCGTCTGTGTTTGTTTTAATGTTTCAGCGATAGTAGTCTAAGCAATGCTATAAATCGACAAAAGCCCATGATTTATCAGGACCAAATTGTGCAAATCCCATCTGGAGCCAACAGGGTTGCTGCTCATCCTGTTGATTCGAAGATCAATACTATCTCTGATCCGAATACTCGAGTTCAGATTCAACAACAGGTTCAGGATTCTGGGTATGTATTGCAGCACCAATTCGATCAACAGCAACAGCAACAGCAACAACAGCAACAGCAACCACAACAACAGCAATTTATGCATGCTGGTGCTCATTATATTCAATATCATCCCACAGGGGCAGTGCCAATGTCGGCATATTATCCTGTATACCCTCCCCAGCAGCAACACCATCACCATCCTCAGATTGATCAGCAATACCCTGTGTACTATGTGCAGGCAAGGCAACCCCAAGCTTACAATTTACCTGTCCAACAGGCTGGTATCAGTGAACCAACAACTACCATCCCTTCTAGCCGCCCTCAAACACCTCCCAATCCAAACATGTTGCCCACTCCCACAACTTTCAATCCCATGAGAAATGCTCACATTGCAAAAACTGAATTGGCTGCTTATAGAACAGCAACTCCAGGCACGCCACAGTTAGTTCAGGTCCCTTCCAACCAGCATCAACAGCAATATGTTGGTTACTCTCAAGTTCATCACCCTTCCCAGTCTGTTGCCCCTACTTCTGCTGGCACTGCTAATTATGGTTATGAGTTTGGTGACCATGCACATGGTCAGATATACTATGCCCAGCCTATGGCACCAGCAATGCCTCAGTACCAAACTATGACGGCAGCTACTGCTGTAGCATTGCCAGAATCTTCCGTACAGTTTGCCAGTGACAACATCAAGCAGCAGATCAGAAGTTCACAGGCAATGTAAGTCAAGCTGAAAGAGGAAAGAAGACACAATTTTGAAAGAAGGGTGTGCGGTTTATATATTTCATTTTTCTGTTTAGCGTCTGTCTTGGAATTGGTATTGGTTTGTATTTATGTATCCGTGGTAGATAATAAGGAACTCTGCTCGTCTTCAGTCTTTCTTTTACGTCAGGTTGTTACTGTCATAGGAAATGAAAGTGGCCTGGGATTATACTGTAAAAGCTCAAACTACATATATCGTGTGATTGTGCAGTTCACATATCAGTTGTTGAATAAATATGTACACAAGTTGTAAGAGCTTTGAATTTCTTAAATCTATGTTTCAGGAGGCCTGCATTTTTGCACATGACCTTGTTCCAGTCTTGTGTTTTATCTTTGTTACTTAAAACATAACTAGCAGAAACTCTCGAACAATTAAATTTAGCAAATCAAAACAATATGGATTTAGAGAAGTCCTTGGCCAAACTGTCTCGTATCTGCCATGAAGTTCTTCTAGCTAACCCACCACCCTTTAGTGCTCTGTTCGAAACTGCGTTTCAGTTGTGTTGTGCAGCAGCTTCAGCCATGGCGAAAAGATCTCTTATGGTTGTCAAGTTCTTATTCGCCTCTTTTAAGTGAACTTGCATTTTGCTGCCTTTTGATATTCATGCCCCAATTTTACCGTTTCATTTAGGAGTTGCCAGGAAAAGAGGTTCAGAGTTTGATCGTTGATGTCATAATAATTGGTGGAGCCTCTTTTTTTTTCCAGTCTTTTGATGTTATTATTATGAAGGTATAATGCACAATTAGATTTCGGCCCTCACCTGTTATTTTCCTCTTCTTCAATCATCTTTTCTAAGGTCACGTAAGCACCATCTTTTCAATCATCTCTTGTGCTGCACTTTAAAACAAAGAAATTTATGCGTGAAGTTGCATTCAAGTAGATTGTTTGAGGACGAAATGAGAGACACATATACATGGCCTAGCCTAGAGTTGGGGACTCAATTCATGCTATGAAATTATAGCCATTGTTTGATTCTTTCAAAAAGACACTACCTTCTATCAATACTCAACATGATTGAATTATCACTAGCATTGCATTCGCTGTCTTGAGAAAGCTGTTTCCATAAAAACAAAACAAAGGCTACGCTTTCTTCCTACGTTCACTCGTTCCTTCCTTCCTTCTTTACAATCTCATCAGATCAGATCAGATCAGATCAACTTTGTTCCTGTTGTTGGTAACTAGCCAAAGACGCGAGAGAGAGAGAGAGAGAGAGAGAGGATATTGTGTGTATGCTCACTGCGAGTCACTGATTTGTCATGTGACTGCACTGTCACAGCAACGTTAGATTCTCTTTTGTTTTACTTCTGCATTAACTAGCGTACGAGGTTTTGCGTCCTGTTTTTTGAGATGGGGGAAACTAAGCTGTTTGTGTCTGATTATCAAACCAAACACGTGTTTTTGCTGCCTGCTTCCTACAGAATCAGCCTCGTCTTTGGACTCATTAAGCAAGGACTTGATGCTGCCTCCACTCCACGCCATTGCATTCCTTGATCATAATTTAGGTTGTCCTATATTGCGCCCGTGCTAAGTCACGGACAGATTAACTTTTTTAATCATAAAAAAAAAAGTCAGGAAACAATTATGTTTTCAGAGAAATAAATAAAAGAATTTAAATAACCTAGTTAAATTTTAATTAATTTAATAATAAAATAAAAATATGAGGCAACAAAAAAAATTAAAAAACAAAGTCAAACATAGATATTAAAAAAAATAAAACATTTTTTTTAAAATTTTAGTTTACTTTTCAAATCATAACTCAAGTTATTTGATTGAAAGCATTATAAATAAAAAAATTACGTGGGTTGAAATTACACAAATAAAAAACTACACAAAAAATCCAAAAATATAAAAATAATAAGGGTTAAATTTTACAAAATAAAAATAAAAATAAATCAAAAGGCAACAATAAATTTTCAATTTGATAGTTAATTTAAAAGAATAAAAACAACAACTAAAATGACTAAATAAAAAGACTGAAAAATAAAGAACATAAAGTTTAGTATCAAATTTGAATTTTTTAAAATTAAATGAACGGATTATCCAATAGCTCAAGAAGATAAGGGACTAAAATGAACTCTTGAAACAAATTTCAAATACACTACCTATTTTACCTGTTTTTTTTACTTTAGTTCTTTATCTTTTAACTTAACCCTTCCTTATAAAAACAAATATACAATTGGATGCTAATTTTGGTTAAAAGGGATAAATTTACAAAATAAAAACTTAATAACTAATTTAAAAACTAAAAAAACCCGCTCCAATCCATGGTATTGCCTGAGTAGATGAACAATAAGAACAAAAACACTTCTTTTAGTTTCTTTTACCTAGTTATTTGACTTGCGCTCTGCCATAGACCAATTATTTTTTTCTTATAAAAAAGTTACGTATACTGTTTTTTCAATGTGTTTTTATATATAAAAATTAAATAAATAAAGAATTATATGTGCCAATAAATGAGGAAAAAAGTCATTATTGATAACTAAAAACAAAACTAAAAAAATCAAGAGACATATATAGATCAAAATAGACAAGATATTTACTTGATTGTGCTTGTTGAATTTGCTTATTAAATTTTATTTTTTATTCAATTAATCAATAATAGAAATAGACACATATTAAATTGATTAAATAAAAAAAGAAAAAAATGGCAAGGCTACATATATTAGAAATATTATATGAAAATAAATATTTTTTATTTTTTAAATAAAGTTAATCTATATAAAAGATAAAAAAAATAAAGACAACGAGAATAATCTTTTTAAAAACTAAATACAGATAACACCGTTAAAATAAAGTTTTCATCAAAAAAATGTTTAAAAAAATCACAAAGGAGAGATATTAATTGAAACATGAATTTAAAAATTATTTATGAAAAAAAACAAAAAAATATATCAATTAAGAAAATCAATATTAGAAATAAAATAGCCCATATTGTGGTTTAATTCGTCAAACTTGTACTCTAGTCATGAACATAACCGGGTTTAGTACTTTTTTAAATTTATATTTAACCATAAGAAAAAGAGAGCTAAAAAATAATTTAGGTTCTTGAGCCCATGGCCTCACGCTTTTGAGCCATTTTAAGGAAAATCCTAGGCATGTGGACGAGGCTTCAAGCCCGTGCACCTAGGTTTGCTTTTTTGTTTATGGGTGTTCAAAGGATATTAGTGAGGTGTTTCTAGATTGAAATGATTTAAGAGTTGGATTATCTTTTATAAAAGAGGCGTTGCCTCGATTTCTAGCCACCATTTGATAGCTAAAATCTGAGCTCGAAAATAAAAAAAATAATCTATTAATTCAAAATACCAAAAAAATCTAAAATTATGAAATATAGCTAGGTTAGATTTATCTTTAGACAACATTAAGGTTCTAAACAATCTCCATCAAGCTCCTCTTATTTTGTAGAACCCATGGAGACTATAAAAATCTATTTTTATAGTTGTAAATGATTTGAATGATAATATTCTCTTTCATTACTAGAATCTAGTGACTATTCTCTCTTTTCTTTCTAATTAAGAGCTGAGAATTGTTATAAATAAACTTTTATATAAAAACAAATTTTTTTGATATTTAAAAGGATTTAAATTATCTAATTTGTATTATTTTTAAAGTTTAAAGACCTAAGTGTATTTCTTAAAAAATCTCTGATATATCATTCATGTTTGATGCTCGTTTCATTTGAGTTCATTTTCTTTTAATATCTTAAGAAATTAGAAGCAATTGATGTTTAATTAGGATTAAATAGCTCAAAATAAAAATTCAAGGACCAAAATAAATTATTAAAAAATACAAAATATATGCATAGTGTTTCGTGTGGTTGTGAATATTGTAGCTGAACAGTGAAAAAGCGCGCATTCTAGAGTTTCTTATAGTAGTTGGTAAGAAAGGACAAAAGGGGATGATGCTGAGGAGGAAGATGGACGTTAATCCATCCATCAAACTTGACTAACAAACAAGGGGGGAAAAATGATGGCACTCGATCTCTCCAAATTCAGTTGGATCGTAAATTTATTTGCAAGGAAGGATAAGAAGAATCCATATTTAGTTCTCTATCCATTGTAGCAAACAAGGAAATTATCTCATCACCCATTCTCTTTACAGTCCATCTCTCTTAATAAGGCTCTATTTGTTAAAAAAAAAGAGAGAGGAGAGGATGAATAAGATGAAGTGGGAGTGTGGAAATGAGGAAGGATGAATGTTGATCCGTTAATTTAAGTTTTTGTTTGATTAGCATTGATCAATTATATATAGTAAATTAAAGTGTGGAATGTTAGGAAGGATAATCCCTTTCTTCTCAGGTGCCAACCGAGGACCCTTTTTGCCCGTCTTCTCGAGCCATCATTCCTAACAAAGCGAAATATTTAATCATTTACAATTAGGGGGGCAGCTCAAAAGAGAAAGTATATCATCTGCTTTAATGATATTAGGATGTGTATGTATGTTTAGACTGTGAATCCATTATACTCTACAATAGATTAATAGGGGTTATTTTTATTTTTTTAATGTAAAAAAATATTCTGTATGATGACCCGAGATGGATCGCTGTATATATTACAATGGCTTATATTTTTATTTTTTTGTAATTTGTAATTGCGCAAATAACGCTAATGGCAATGAGCTTCTAGTTTAACAAGTTATCTATGTCCTGTGTCGCAATGTTCTTAGATTTGAGCCTCTGTTTCGCCAGAAAAGAAGAAGAAGAAGAAGCGCTGGCAGTAGCATTTCAGAGAAATTATTTATAGTGGCTAAGCATCTCTTTAAAGGGTTTGGGTGGCTTAGAGCAATAGATTGGGATCTTTGACAATCTAACATTCAATGCTCAAAAATTGACCTGGTGCCCAGGCGTGCTTGCTGAGAAAGCAAAGAAAATAATGACTGCGCCTACAATTCTCATGCCATCCTTGAATGCGAAGTGACTTGAGAGATATCCTTGGTTTTTTTTTTATATATATATATGTATGTATGTATATAAGGAGACGGCTTCCACCTCTTTGCCACAATCAATGGCTGGTTTATGAAATATGGAGTTTCGAAAATGCATGGCAGTAATAGCATGCTGCCTATCAAAGGGACCACAGAGATTTAGCACTTGTAATCACTGATTAATAAAAGGTGGATAAAACACCCTGGAATTACAAAACCTAGAATTAGCCTCTGCATGGTATGTAATATAGAAAATTCAGGAAAAAGAAATGGATCGGTTTCATGTGATCTTTGTCAAGCTGACACGGGACACGAAAAGGAAAAACATAAATCAGAGAACCTCGGAAATTAGAACGTGTCATTAATTGATACATAAAAAAT